CCCACGGCACACAGTATGGGGAATACGCAGGGCTCTGACAGTCCACCGGCCTGGCCTTGGGTTTGGGGTTTACTCCTGGAGGGTGAGGGCTGGGGTCAGCTGCACTGTGGAGCAGGGCAGAGGGATGCTGACATTGCAACTGTGCGGTGACAAGCCATGAGACAAGCCCTCTGCTGACACGCTGGCAGTAATCACACAGCCAGTATTGCGACACCCAGCATTGCAACACCCAGTAATGAAAAGCAGAGAAACCCGTCAGAACATGTCCAAATGGTTAGAAACAAGAACCCTGACCATCTGCAAATTCTGCAGCGATGTTCTCGGTGGTCAGCCCTCGAGAGGCATGAGGGCAGAAACTTCAGCTTGGGGCTCCCTGAGTTTTCTCATCGAAACGAATTTTCCTAAATGCTGATGTCTCGAGGTCCTGTATGCCTTCTCCCTTAATTTTTTGCGGGCCCTTGGACCGAGTTCATTTGCAAAGGCCATCAAAGTCGGCGTTCTCGGGGGCCGGCTCTGAATCCCGGTTCTTCCACTTACCAGCTGGGTGCCTTTGGGTGGGTGACTGAACATAGGTCCCTGTCTCAGTTTCCCCATGTGTAAAGTGATGGTGAACTACCTGACACATAGGACTGTTGTAATGAAATGAGTGGGTTCACGTGAAGCACTTATAATAACGTCTGGTCAATAACGACCTTTCCACGGATGTTCGCTGTCATCACCACCATCACCGTCACCACCACCATCATCAACATCCTGAAGCTAAAATAAAGAAAAAGGCCCTGCTTTGGCCTCATCTTGCTCTTCTGCCCTGGAGCCAAAAGGAACAAAAACCAACTAGAAGGTCGAAAGTAGAGCTGACGCCGAAGCAGCAGCTAAGCGATTTGCAGCCCCTCCTGCAGCACTTTCTGCTGCCTGGGGCCTGTCCGCAGCTGCTGTCTGCCTTTCCCAGTAGATCTCTTAACGTCTTTTCTCTAGTTCGTTTAAAGTCCTTGTCTAGTAGTTCTGCCGCCTGTGGGTCTACTTGTATTGATAAGTCTTCTCTTGATTATGGGTCACATTTTCTCACGTCTTCGCATGTCTGACGGTGTTTTATTTACTCAGATGTCTGTGTAGAAAAGCAGTAGCATGGTATATAAATATATATCCCCTGGGAAAAGAACATGCCCCTGCTCCACTGGGCCGTTAGTGGGAGGGGCGGGGTTGATCCAAAGGCAGCTGAGTTGGGCCCGGGCTTTGATTCACCTCACGCTGCAGGCGGGGCCAGGTGCTCGGCAGGGAGAGGCCAGCATGGAAAACTACGTAGACGACAAAGGTAGGTGGTACGTCCCTGAGCGTAGCTGGCACGTCAGGAGGCACTGGGGGTGGGAACGCGGTGCGTGGGGGGCGAGAGCTGTAGAGCAGGAGACCATCAGTGTGCAGAGGCGGGAGGTAATTCTCAAAGACGAGACACCGGTAGAGCTTGAGATGTTGCAGCTGCGAATGTTGAAAATAACGACGGATATTAATTAGCCTGACGAAGGGTCCTCTCCGCTGAACCCAGCGCCTCTGAACACCCTGTAAAAATGCTCAGGACTGCAGGTCCGTCCGCCACTGGCCACCACTGCCTCTGCATACCTGAAAAGTCCCACCATCCCAGCTCCGAACCCCGCCACGTGCAGCTTGGTTCCTCAGGGGAATTTGCCAGATCTTGGGCCCCGGCCTCACCTACGGCGGGGGCTCCCGTTAGCCCCGCTCAGCTCTCTGCCAGACTTTCCACAGAGCTCTTTGGCTTTTGTGAGCTCAAGACAGCCTTTGAAAACCGGGGAAGCTGAGGGGGGGTGTGTCTAATAAAGCTGGAGCTCTGTAATTTAGCAATTACTGTAACCCACACTTGTAATTTAGGGGGTTCTCGCCATTCTTTGTACTCTCTCTTTTAGCTCTAATAGCCTTGTCTTTAATGCTCCAAAGGCTGGTATTTGCCATCCCCACCCCCAGTCAGCTGCAGAGCTCACGAAAGTGTGCAGATCACGCGTGCGCTACTT